CTTTCTGTCGATTTTTATTTTTTTGAGTGAAAATCATGCGTCGGACAAAGAAATACCAAGAGATCAAATTTTCTCAAAAATAAATGAGGATTTTAAAAATGATTTTATTTTGAAAAGAAAGCATTGGCGTAGTACTTTTTCCCCAAAAATATTCAATGCGAAACCCGTAGGGATGCCGCTGTTTGAAAAAATACAAATTTGTGTACATCAGAAAATGCGCCTTGAGGCATGGAACATATGTACTAAATATGCCAAAGATGTTTACAAAATTATCTCAGTTATTATTAAAAAACTGATTATTTTTGAAAACTTTGCCACCCTGTATCTCAAAAGTTAAGGCGTTTAGGACATACATCCATAGGAAGTTTTTTTCTTAAAATGGGTCTAAGAATTACCTCCTTAAATATTAGCATGTGTTTAAGGAACACCCTGTATAGGATCGAACAAGTTTTAAAAGTTATATATTTTTAAGAGTTTGGAATGGTCATAGTGATCATAAATTTACAAAAATTAGTGAATGTCCTGAAGAATTTGAAATCGAACAGCAAACTTCTGATAAATTTTTCAAATGATTATCAATGATGAGAAAGGTAAACTTAGATTGTCACACTTATGTTATAATACCGGTAATAGAGTGAAAATCTGAAAACGAATTGTAAACAAATATTTCCAGTAAACAATTTTACTAATCTCATATTTTAAAGAATGAATAAAAAATTTTTTGAAAATTGTAATTTTAACAAATGATAAAGAAGTAAATTCACAATAGTGAAAATTGTCGAAAGTCCACCCATTAGAAACTTTAAACGTTCATTACATTTTCTCTACATTATAAGCTTTTTCATACGATCAAACTGCCTTCTAGGTTTTTATTATTCTTGTGAAATTTCCCAAATGAAATATAATTTTTTTCCTTATATGAATAATTGTTTTCAGCTGGATATATGAATAAAGATCGACAACTTATTGAATTGCAAGATTCAAGACAACAGTTGCAGTTGCAAGATGAAGCTGATTTGAGATCCTTAGAGGAACAGGAACAATCAATTAGGCAGTTAGAGGTGAGTTTACCAAAAAGACACAAGAAATAATCTGCCAATTTTTTTTATTTTAGATTTTTTGGTAGTTCAGATATTGTCATCAGCACTATTTGGGATCTGGTTATATTTTTTAATGAAATTTGAAAATAATTTTTAAAACTTGTATTATTATAAAGATTAGTGCTTTCACCAACATTATTATTTTTGAAAATGTACACACATAATTAAAAAATATAGAGTGCTGGTAGAGTCTCAAGTCCAAGCTTTTTAAAATATTCCTTACCATTGGATTTTTAAAAAAGATCAAAAATAGCCCTTATAATTATTTTTTGAGCAACAGAAGTACCACTTGCATGTGAGAACCAATCCTAAAAATACAAGCCTAATTTCACTTGAGCTTAGCAAATATTTCGAAGTTGACGTTTTCCAAAATGCCTCATAAATTTTTGAATTGGTTATTCTGTGAGTTGAGAATTCAAACAAGTTTCTTGCAGGGAGCTTCCCAATTCGAAGGGTTATCAAACTATGATAGATACTTAGAAATATTTTGCCTGGTGATTTTTCGTGGGTTCACCAATAATTGACTACACTGAATAATCAAACTTAACTTCATTTCACTTTAAATACACAAATACTTCAACTAAAAATTCCAACTATTTTTTTAATGTCTGTCGCCTCACTAGATTACTTTGCGTACCGCACTTTAAATATCGTAATCGAATGTTGTCGAAATTTCTCCGAAGTTCTGTCGAAGTCGGTAACATTGTTCTCGCTGTTTCTCGATTAGCGGGGAATCATCGTGCACTCGCGCGCTCTAAGCCACGTCACACCTGGTTTATGGCTACCAGCAGCAGCCGGCGTTATTTTCTTTCAGGCATGATTTACAACAGTATTATCAATAATTTTAACATTTCATTCATTTTTTATTTTATTTGTTCTTTCATAGATTTCAAATCTGTTAACATCTTTGTTTTTTAGACAATGGACCTGAACTCGTAACATTCAAGCAGTGTTTGATTCATATATCCATATTCCACAATTTTAGAAAATGGCACTTTGGTGGACCATTATTATTAGGTTGTTTCAAAAGTTTTGTCCGTTTTTATGAGATAACTTGAAACTGTAATATGTGAATACTCATTCAATTTAATTGAAATAAGCGCCATTTGAATCAGTGTACTTTTGCCAACGTAGCACAAGTTGGTAATTTCCGTTGGCATAAAAATTGGGTGATCGGGATTATGTCTGGTCCTGAGTGGCAAAGATTTTACTGGTGAGGAAGTTATCGAAGTGCTTGAAAAGATGGTAGTCGGTTGGCGAGAGGTCTGGGGAGTATGGTGTGTGAAGCAGAACTTCGACGCTCAGTTCTTTAATTTTTGTACGGTGACTTGTGAAACGTGCGGACGGGCGTTGTTATAGAGCAGGTGCTTGTTTCGACCGGGGTGCTCATCGGTGTCTAACCACTGTCCTGGACGTCTCCTGTTGTAGAGGATTCACTTTTCATCACATGATGCCCAGTTCTTCCACCATCCCTCACGCTGTGAGATGGCACGTGGTCTCTAGCACGGTCCTCAAATCCTCGTTCAATTTAAATTCGTAGAAAAAAATTGGTCCAAATGAACAGTAGAATATTACACAGTAGAATAGATATTTATTGAGATTTAGAGCTACAAAAACATATGACATTAAAACGGACAAAACATTTGAAACAACTGAAAATTTGGAAACATTTGTCTATTTCGAAATTGAAATGCAAACCTTAAAAAAGTATTATTACGATATTGTTCTCTTAAAGGAGACGAGTATCTATACAGGATGTAACTGAATAAGTGTAAAATATTGTTAAGATACAGCCCCTTGAAGGGGGTACATAAAATTTGTATAACAATTTTTTTCACAAGCACTGAAAAAGTTACAATATTGAAATTAACCTGACATTTGGTACTACCAAAAAGACACTTAGCCAGTAATTTATTTGGTTTACCCCATGGTTGTAAGGGGTGGAAAACGCAACCCCTAAAATTTATTTCCAATGTAACTTTTTGTTTAATTATTTGTTTCATTCTAAACAAATAACGTCTCTTGGATTTTTTGCCCAAAAATAAACCAGTTCATAGCAAAAAATTATTTTACGAACAGCTACAGAGATACATCGTCATAAAATGCAAACTGGATTTATTGTTATTTTGTAGTTAGTACCTGCATTAAACGATTAAAGGGTAATAAACAAAACTAATTTATTAATAACAAAACACACAACATGTAGAAATCATAGTAAATGGTCAATATGTCTACCTTCAGACATTACGCATGCGTCTAGACTTCGGCGCATTGAGCCACGTATTCGCTCAAATATTCCTGGAGTCTCTGTGATTACCCTGCACGCATCAATGATGCGGTTTCTCAAGTCCTCTACATTGCGAACAGGAGTACGATAAACCAAATGCTGTAAATGGCCCCAAATAGAGAAATCGAGAGGATTGAAATCCGGGAATCGAGCGGGCCAGTTCTGTGATCCTCCTCGACCTATCCACTGATTTGCATATGTTTCAGTTAAATGCTGACGTGCTACTTGACTAAAATGGGCGGGAGCCTTATCATGCATAAAAAACATATCCCTTCTGACGCCCAAAGGAACTTCCTCCAGCAGTACTGGACGCACTTCTCTTAAAAATTGAACGTATGCCTCACCATTCAATCAAGAAGGTAGAAAATGAGGCCCAATTAAATCATCCACAATAACTCCGAGCCACACGTTAAGAGAAAACTGTTCTTGATGGTTAGTTTTGACAATAGCGTGAGGGTTTTCATCACGCCGTATGTGGTAATTATGAAAATTATGAATCTTGCCCCGAGAAAAACTAAATTCGTCTGTGAATTATATCGTCTTCAGAAAGTCACAATTTCTTCTAATCATTTCCAGCATCCAATTGCAAAATTCAATTCAATTTCGAAAATTCACAAACTGACAGCGTCATACCAATTTAATTTTCACTATCGCTAATAGCGACCTACTAGATAGATTAGTTTCGTATTTTAGCATTTATGACGATGTATATCTGTAGTTGTTCCTAAAATAATTTTCTCTTTGGGCAAAAAACCAAAGAGACATTTTTTGTTTTGAATGAAACAGGCGGAAATACATTTTTAAATAAGACAAATAAGACAAAAAGTTACATTGGAAATACATTTTAGGGGTTGCGTTTTCCACCCCTTACAACCATGGGGTAAACCGAATAAATTTCTGGCTAAGTGTCTTTTTGGTAGTACAAATCGTCAGGTTAATTTCAATATTGTAACTTTTTTAGTGCTTGTGAAAAAAATTGTTATACAAATTTTATGTACCCCCTTTAAGGGGCTGTATCTTAACAAGGGATGCTCCAATGAAATTTCTTTATATGAAAGATCCTATCTTTTTTTCGATGAGGAATCACCTCCTTAAATGTTTTACACTGTATAATTTTTTCATTTTAATCGCCTTTTTATTTAGTGGAATAAATATATTTCTTTTTATTCTTTCAGAAAATATATTATTACAAAACAAACTACCACAAATTCCAAAGCAACTTTATTGTTTCTATATAGAATATAAAACATTTTTATCTTAAAATTTTGGAATATTCATTGATTATGTACTCAGGTACATATTCATAGTACCAAAACACGTTTTCGTCACTATTATAGTATTTGTGCAGTAGCGATTTGAAACGAACGTGTTTTTTTCTCGTGCCGAAAACCATGTGTGACGAAAAACAGGAACAACCTATCAATCTAAAAGTTCTCGTTAAATTGAAAAAACTTCGACTGAGTGCTATAAATTGTTGCAAGAGGCCTACTGGGACAATTCTTTATCTCATGCGCGTGTTTATGAGTGGTGTAAGAGCTTCAGCGAGGGCCGAGAGAGCACTGAAGATGACCAGCGCCCATGTCGCACTGTCACTATTTCAACTCCGGAAACAGTGACCAAAATCAATAAAATTGTGCGTGCAGATCGTCGAATGAGCATCTGAATAATGGCCGAGGCTGTAAACGCCGATAAAGAAATGGTTAGAAAAATTTTACATGAGGAATTACACATGACAAAAGTCTGTGCGAAATTGGTGCCAAAAAACCTGTCTCCTGAACAAAAGCTCTTGCGTCAACAGGTCTGCTCAGATTTCCTTGAAAGGTCAGAAGAAGATCCCGGACTGATGAAAAACAGTATTACTTGCGACGAAACGTGGATTTTTCAATACGATGTTGAAACAAAGCGGAAATCTAAACTGCAGCAACATCGTACGAGATTGTTTCAAAAATCACCCTATCTAGCAGGCTCCAAGCTATTCAATTGTCTGCCTTCAAATATAAAGAGTATCTCATTATTGTCTACTTTAACACGGAAAGTTAAAGAATAACTTTTAGAGGGGTTTTTTTATTTCATCAATAAGTATTTTGAGTATACTTCCAAATAATTGTGATCAATGTACTGTAATCTCTGTTATTTATTAACTCCGTATTAAAAATCTACATGTTTTTTATACTTGACGTTTCCTATATCATTGTTATTAAATGATCATTTCAAAGGAATAAACACATTATTATGATTATTATCATCATTATTATTAATCGACGCATTGGAAGACTCCTGAATCGCCCAGAATAAAAAAATTCAAATCAAAATTCAAGGCAATGTTGATCTTTTTTTTCGACATTAACGGTATTGTGATGACTGAATGGGTTCCAGAGGGTCAGACTGTCAACCAGACTTAGTATTTGTCAGTTTTGGCAACGCTGCGAGAACGAGTTAGTAAGAAAGGGCCCGAGTTGTGGAAGAACAACTCGTGGATTTTGCACTCACCAGATTTGGCACCGTGCGATTTTTTGTTTGTTTCCGAAGATAAAAGCTTCTTTCAAACGGACCCGATTTGTAAATCAAAAAACGGCAGAACTCCTAAAGGCCCTCAACAAAGAAGACTTTCAGTACTGCTTCGATCAACGGAAAAAACGTATGGAAAGGTGTGTGGCAAGAGGAGAGGAGTATACTGAAGGAGAGCATTCGAATGTAGAGTAATTTTTATAATAAAACCCGTTTTCGCAACCAGTCTCGTTATTTTATAGCCGGACCTCGTACATAGTCAGTTGATTATGCACTCAGGTATATACTTAATCAATTGAGTATGCAGTTCTTACTGGTGATTACATGGGGTGTATAATAGTTTGAGTGAAGATTCGTTTTTTAGTATTTTATTCACTACGAAAAAGCTACTGTGATAGCGAGAAATGTCGTGAAATTTTGAAATTAAAGTTTGTGAAGATTAAATCGTTTCCGGTGTAGTTTGGATCTTCATCAAGAAACGGCCGAGTCAATCAGAAAAACAAATTTATGTAAGGATGACAATTCAAAATTTTTTTTGATTCGCACAAGTTGACTAGGCTACCTGTAGTTCAACTTATACAATTTTGTTCTGAAGTTTTGTAATTGGTTTCAATAAGGAATTTTTTGCCATTCCCCATACTGATATTAGATATTGAATTTTGGAATATACTAATGAAATATAGTACAAAAAAAGGAACATTTTTCTGTACCAAAGTGAAACGTATTAAATTGAGAAAACTGTTTTTATCACGAGATTAAATACTATAAATACAGGTGCTACACTGAAAAACTACAGACTGAAATTACCGATTCTTAGTGATACTGAGATGCAGTTTTAACGATATATTGTAAAGAATCAAAGTTGATATCACGTGAATTAGATATGATGTTGAAATGATTACAATTGTAAAAAATTGGTGATTGATCATGACATTCATTATATTAGTTTCAGTTTTTATTCTATAGTATTGCTATTTCATTTCCAATATTATCACTTATATTTTTTTTAGAGTGACATAAATGATGTGAACCAGATATTCAAGGAATTAGGTGCACTGGTCCACGAACAAGGCGAAACTATTGACAGCATCGAGGCTAGTGTGGAAAGGACCAGTGATTTTGTTAGTCAAGGGGCTCAGCAGTTACGTGAAGCTGGTACTTATAAGAATAAAGTCAGAAGAAAGAAGCTCATTTTGGCCATCATTGGTGCTATTATATTGATCATTATCATAGTAATAATCATTTGTCAGTTGAAATAAATTGAAGTTGGTAGAAATATGTTAGTCCGAAACTTGATTGGATCTTTGGAGGTAATGTATTTATTTACAATATTTAGTACGAAAGTACAAGAAAATGAATATTGAAAGGAATATAGGTGCTTGTCTCTACGGAAGCACAGAAGGGCCACATATTTTTATTATGCTTCTTGGAAATTCCGACTTTAATCTCGAAATTTCAAGGGCGATGACATTAATCTCGAAATTTCAAGGGCGATGACATATTCCCTTACGAAGACGCCATCCATAGGATCGACAGAGAACTCAATTCTTGAATATCACTATCACAACATAGTATAAAACAAAGTCACTTCCAGCTGTCTGTCTCTATGTTTGCTTAGATCTTCAAAACTACCCAACGGATTTTTTTAATAGATAGAGTGATTCAAGAGGAAGGTTGATATGTCATCGCCCTCACTCGAAATTAAATTTTTATTTCTGATAAGGTGTTACATAAATCATTTATATGGACAAATAGTTATGAAAAGAACGGGAAACAATGTCCTATTAAAAAAAAATCGAATTAAAATAAAAACTATGCATTTTTGGTATAGTTGCACTAAACACCAGGTATAACAATTATTCCGAAAAATTTGCCATACATGCTTGACAAACAGATACAGAATTTTCTAGGCATATATATTTTTATAAAAACTGGCATTTATAGCTTGTTTTCCGATCTTTACAGGAGACACATCTTCCATGTTTATTTTGTTCCATTTCGACTTGCTCAACCAACACAGTAGCGCTAATTCTAGCTGCAAGCCGTCGAATTTCTCTTGTCAGATATTTGAATTGTTTCCATTTGTATCACTTCTGTATATAACCATGGCGTTTATACCAACAACATTGAAGAGCCCATATTACTACCATAGGCCATCTACGTGTATTTCTCGAAACATTATATTTTGTAGAAAGTTGGTCAACTGTATCAAATCCGCTTTTGGTCGAATTGTAAAAAGTAATTATCTCTGTTTGAATTGAAGGGGTTATATTTTTAGGAGCGATTAATTTTTGGGAAAGAAAGTTTTTGGCTTTCTGCTACTCCATCTTGATACAAAAAAAGGGATGAGGGAATCTTCCAAAGAAAGGAAGGAAGTAATCAATTTGAAAATAAGTAACTCTATACATGGATGTGTAGAACATGCAAAGAAGTAACTTTCAGCCACAAACTGAAAGAAAGTCCTCCTGAAACATCTACTTTTATATAAACATTGAATTACACTAAAGAAAAAATTCTTTCGAAACAAATACTTCTATATGAACACTGAATTATATAGAAGATACTTTTCTCTACTCAGTTTGTATTTCAAACATTCGTTGTGGAATAAAAACCAGATATCATTCACATGAGTTCTACTTTGAATGAATGGTAATAAATTGCACTTACATGGAACACTGTCATCCTCACTGGTATACACCGATGTTTCGCCTTAAGACACTTGCCCCAAGACTCTTCAGTACCAAATTGGATAACATTATAGAAAATACACACAATTCATTCATGAATTACGATTTTTTAATGTCACGGAATAAGCTTGATCTGATTATGTCTGAAAGTTACTTCTTTGCATGATCTACACGTGTATAGAGTTACTTATTTTCAAATTGATTACTTCCTTCCTTTCTTTGGAAGATTCCCTCATCCTTTTTTTTGTATCAAGATGAAGTAGTAGAAAGCCAAAAGCTTTCTTTCCCAATAATTATCTCTGGTTTCGCCTCTGCACCAGATGCCTCATCAATAGAAGAATCATCGTGATGAAGGGTTGATAATAAAATAACCTGCTTATTTTTTTTTCGGTATATATGAAACGATAGTCATATCTTCTGTAAAACCAAACATGCTGGACTTTTCTGGTCGTTTAGTAAAAAAAATCTTTGGGAATTCGCCTCTTATTTTTTCTAAGTGTTCCCACAATTGTCATCTGATGTTTTTTTAGTAAATTATTGGCCACATCAACAGAAGTGAATCAATTATCCATTGTAACATTTCTCCTAGATTTTGACAATGGTAAACAAAGCAAACAGATCAGATGAAACTTCTTCGAACAACCGAGTCAATCTTTCCACTTCTTTTTCTTCCATTATTCTGTAAGAAATATAGATTTTTTTAATAAAATTGAAGCTTTGATTACAAAAATAGGAATGAAATTATTTCAGATTAATAAAAAAATACTTACATAAAGGAACGCGTCGGGTCTGCAAGACGAGAAAATCTGCTCTAAAATCTACAGGCTAGCTCGAAGGTACTGAGGCTCGTAGCCATACGTGCTTTTATCTGAAAATGTCACAAGCAATTATGATTGCTTGGGCCTGATAGACCCGATGCGACCACTGCAGAATTAAACTCGAAATTTTGACTTTAATCTCAAAATTTTGATTTCAACCTCGAAATTTCGAGACTAAAGTCAAAATTTGCAAGAAACAAATAATAGTATAATAAATGTATTCCAGTTTGGCTTTCAGTCTTCAAAAAGTACACAAGACGCCATATTTTCACTCCTGAAAAACCTGTACACCAATCTTAATCACAGAGAATCTGCGGTGGCCATGTTTTGTGACCTAACCAAAGCCTTCAATGGTGTAGACCACATGCTATTTCTTCGCAAGCTAGAAGTTAACGGATTTAGAGGATCTGCATTACATTGGTTTGAGACGTACCTTTCTCATCGGCGGTAGAATGTTCTATTAGATGGAATTTCATCAGAGGAACGTTTCATTTGCAGTAGGGTCCCACAAGGTTCCGTTTTGGGACCGGTGTTATTTCTCATTGATGTCAATGACTTAGTCCATGTTGACATAAGTGGTAAATTCACATTTTTCGCTGAATACACCACTATCCTCTGGCATAGCAATACCACTTCAAATTTACTTGATCATTGTCCACATAAGGAGGGTGAAAGAGTGGTGTGATTCCAATCTTTTATCATTCAACTTCGACAAAACAAATGTGGTCACGTTTAGATGTAACATAGGGCAAGTACACTTGGAAAATGTTAAAATTGAAAATTTGGAGAAAAACAACTTTTTAGGGCTCTTCATTGATGGAAATCTAAAATTTGATTCCCATATCGACTACTTATGTAATAGACTAGCAGCAGGATGTCATGCAGTGAGAGTTGTTTCAAGAGAGTTAGACACTACTATCACAAGATCAGTTTATTTTGCACAAATTGAGTCATATTTACGTTATGGAATTTGTTTCTGGGGAAATTGTGCACAATTTCGTTTGGTATTCTCTCTACAAAAAAGATCCATCACATATTTATGCAAGGCTAGCTACAAGGGTTCATGCCGCCCATTATTTGTGAAGCAAAAAATTCTGACCTTAGTATGTCTTTTTATTTTGGAAACAGTGTGTCTTATCCACAAAAAATATAAAAATCAATTTAATACCACCTCAACTTAGTACACGTCAGTCTTACTTCATTTCCCTTCCAACACCTACTCTAGCCCTTACACAAAATTCTATTATTTTCAATGGCAAGAAGTTATTTAATCACCTTCCCATTAATTTAAGGTGAATATATAATGAGAAGAAATTCAGAAAGAAAGTAAAAGAATTCCTTGTTGGAAGGAAGGCCCTATTATAGCGTGGACGAATTCTACCAAGGCTCTATCGAGTAATTGGCATGTAGCTTTGTGTAAACAAGTTATTGAAATCAACACGAAATGGCTATCAATGTTCATTACATAGCATTATATATTTATATTTACTCAAAATTCATATGTTCATGTACTTATATTTGTATCTGTTCAACTGGGCTTAATATTGTTCTGTCCATATACTCTGCTCTTGTCTCTAAGCATTATTTTATAGTTTATATTGTTAATTGTCCCATATACCCGTTTTACTTTACTAGACTTTGCTAATAAGATGTTTAGATCTTGGGTAATAAAGCATATTTTGATTTGATAAATATATGTGGTCCTTTTGCGGTTCTGTGAGTCTCAGTAATTATGGTGCCTCATATAATTCAACAATTTAGATGAAGCATTAACTACAGGGTGTTCTTAAATGTACTATAAATATTCAAGGGAGTTATTTTATAGAGAATTCAGGAATGGAAACTAATGAATCCTCATTGTAAAACGCCTCGTTTATGATTTAACAGGGTATTGAACTTTGAATGTTTTCTTGAATTCCACAAATATATGTTTCATATGTTTTTAAAGCTATCAAATTCCAACATGGCATATAACCTTCTTTCATCAGTTCGGATTTCCATTGTCTAATATAATATAAATTGATTTGAAATTGCTGAAAAAATATTAAAAAGATTAACCGAAAATAATAATTTTATTTGAACAGTTATCACCCGAAGACGATTGTGGATACTAACAATGGAAACGTCGTGACATAATTTGGTTCGAAATCTTTTAATTTTAATTTTTCATTTATTGTTGATGATATTTTTAAAGTTTTTCAATTTTCAGCTTTTAATAATATTTCAATTTTTATATTTTGGTTGTTGTTTGGTTTTATGTTATTTCTTTGTAATTTCAGTTTTTTTGTTCAAATAAAATTGTTATTTTCGGTTAATCTTTGTAATATTTTTTCAGGAATTTCAAATCAATTTATATTATATTAGACAATGGAAGTCCGAACTGATGAAATACACCACGAAACATTGTCAAACACCTTCAAACAAATATAACCTTCTATTGAAAATATTCCTAAAAAAACTGATGGTTCATTACATGCTCAAATGTTCTTGTCTCTGGCTAGATTTTAATAGTCCACCATACACCACCATACACTAACCACGGCCTTTTGTGGTTCATTAGTGTCCAACCACTATCCTGAATGTCTCCTGCTGTCGTAGAGGATCACGAAACGTGACAATTTCTGTCAATCGTTCAAATTGTGCGGCATCCACTTTTCGAGCATTTCGACCTTTCATTTAAACCATCAAAAACGGCATGGGAGCTGACGCCCAGTTCTTCCACCGTCCCACGCACAGTTTGCGATGGGTCAGTCTCCACCAGGGTCCTCAAATCCTCGTCCTGGATTATTGTAGATCGACCACTTCGGGGCTAATCTTCGAGACTCAAACCTCCGGAACGAAATTTTGCAAACCATGGTCAAACAGTGCGGTAATTAACACTATCACTGCCAAATACATGGTTAATTTTTGGGCTGTTTCAGTAGCGCTTTGGTTCAATTTGAATTCGTCGAGAAAAATTAGTCAAAAAAATCGCTTAATGACATCATATACTAATAAGCTGAAAGGAGACAAACAATCAAAATTAAAAAAAAAATAAACCACATCAATGTATAAATCGATCAGTATATACTACGATACAGTAGGATCAATATTTATTGAGGTATGGAGCTACAAAAACACATCAGCTAATCTATCCAAATCATAGCAATCTCCAAATAACATCAAATGGACCACTCTCAACAGGTGTAAGAATTTAAAATCAATTATCCACTGGCATTAAAATTAAGCCTACACACTTCAAATTTCGAAACTCCACAAAACATATTTGTGGTAGAGAATAGAAGAATAAATAAGAGAGTGAGTGCTGGAAATGAGATTACGTTTATTGTCATTGATTACTTTTAGTATAATATTACTTATAGTCTGAGTGAGTCTAAAATGAAAGAATTTTTCGTTTGAAGGCGTTTATTTATGGGAAATCAACATTTTCCAGTAGATATCTGTCAGAACTTGACTTTTTTTTCCCATGGCAGGTACATGTGTGAACTAACATTGCTTCTCATGTCATTTTCAACTGTATTAAGCTTTTCCGAACTTCTCGAAGGCAGAACATTGTTATATAAAATTGAATATATTTCAAGATCTAACTCAAATTTTCATTGTGACATCTTAATTATTTTTCTACATATTCTGTGATGTCCTTCAAGATTCCTATATTTTTTCTTATATATCTGAACGACCTTCCTACCATTCTGATTCTAGGTAGTTTCATTAATTTCGCGGATGATACAGCCCTTCTTTGGCATGACAAAAATATCTCAAATAGCCTAGAAACTATTGCTAGGGACTTCAACAGAGTGATAAAATGATGTAAAAATTCAATATTTATCGAAAAATCATTTGTTTCGTGATTGTTGAAATTTTTCAAAACATGGTTGGTTTTTGTCATAAGTTTATTGCAATTTTAGTTATTTTTATCAAACATTTTAAAGGAAAAAGTTGTTCATTTTGACGAGATCCACCATATACTTAGTTTTTGTAATGTTCTCAGTAACTTCACTTAGCGCTCTAGGAGCTAAGTAATATGCATCGATATAGAATATAGAAAGATATGTAAATATGTCAAAAACGATAACCTCCAGCGTTGTTGAGAAAGTGTACCTTTTTTACTTGGAAAAGATGTGGAAATTAGCTTTTTTCATGAAAAGTAACAAAAGTTCACTGTCAAAAAATTTAGGTCAATTTTAAATAAATAATGACAGCGTACGAAGCGCCCTCTAGATGTAACATGAAAATTAATACGAAATTATGATTTCCCACGTCAAAAGAACCCTGGGTACCAAATTTTGTGCAAATAACTTATTTTTAACAAAACTTAGTTTTTAAAAACTAACAAAAAAATTCATTTTAACACCCTGTATCTCCGAAACAAAGCATTTCTGGACACAAGTTTATATAAACTTTTTTTCTTGAGATTGTCTCTGTTTTGTTTGTATGATCAAACTGAATTTTATAGCGTTAACCTTGTTAATAAAACACTACTTCAACATTTAACTATTTACTTCGATAGCAGGTATTGGAATATTTTTACAGTGCGTGAATATGAAAGAGAACAAACAGATGTTTTAACTATTACCGTTTATGATAGAACTAAAACTTACTAATATACATTGAATCGATCAACGCTCTCTCGATCGGGATGAACCGTGAGAGGTTCAAGTGTTCTGGAATGCAACCACTTGCCTGTACAGGGTGGTACGAGACATAAGAAAAGAAAAAAGTGAAGAAAATATGAATTAAATGAACTCTAACCGTACAGTCTCAGGAGTACGTCACTTGAATATTTTAACGTACTTATGTTATTCCATGTATAGGCAGGCATCTTTATATGAGTATATTTGTTATGTTCAATTGTATACAGTGTGATTGAAATATTTTAATTGTTATACATTTTGTTTTTCTCTTACTTTCTCAAAAAGAAGAATCGTTTTTTGGCAATAAAGTATATTCATCTGTCTATTTTCACAACATTCATCAACATGATTACTAAATTTCATCGACACATATTACGAAATATTACTGGAGTTTTTTCCCAACACCAAATCGTTATTTTTACACCTCGACACGTGTTTCGATCACCAAGTGATCATCTTCAAGAGGAAGATAAAGAGGAACCTTTGGTGTAGTAATGAATATTACTACACCAAAGGTTCCAAACAGTATATCACAAGTATGTATGTAATATGTCGATGAAATTTATAAAATTTAGTAATATGTGATAGGATATTATGTGATAGGTTAATATTCATTTATAATTTAATTTCAAGAAATTTCCTGCTAATTCTGACTAGAGAAAAAATTTCTCTATAATCTGAGTATTTTTGGCATATCTAAATGTTTCCTACATTTTTTGTGAATTCATGTTAGAAAACTTATATTTTTAGGATAGAAAGGAGACTGCGTTTTTGAATGGACTGGTGGAACTGCATCGATACTGTCATTCAAATTGTGTCCAACCATCATCACTCATGGAAAGTTTATATCTGCAAGGATTTCCCTTATTTCTGATATCAATTGCCTCTTTGGAATACCCAAATAATGAAGTTATGGCTTCACAATAGTTTTAGTAGTAATTTCTTTTGGGGAACAATTCATATTATGTTCATCTGCTGATTAGACCACAACTAACGTAATGTCTACAGTTTGATCAACTTAGAATTTATTTTTTTTATGTCGCTTAAACTTTTTTTTGTTTTTTTTTTCTCCAGGTGGGTTAAATAAATTGACTGATTTTTTATGGTTTGTGTGGTTATGGTAACATAAAGTAATTATCTTGAACTTCTCAACTGTATCGATCATTTACTAATATTATTATTAACAATATTGATTTTCAAGCATAGTTTATTAAAAATGTCCAATCACAAGTCCATGCACCGATTATTTTTTCGTTCCTTTCGAAATGGACTTGAAAGTTCTATGTATTTAAACTATAGGTACTAGCAAGGTTTTTTATAAATAAAAAAGTTTTCCAATCAAATTAGGGACAAGTGTCAAAAACAATAACCAATAATCTTATAAAATTCTTGTGTTGCAATGTTGTCGCTCAATTTGTTAAAATTAGAGTGAATATTCATTGTTCGGATTCACACTAGTTTGTGAAAAATCAATTGGACCATAGTAGTTTTTTCGCTGATCATGAATCTGAAGTATTAGCATTTCACTTTACTTCCGGAGATGCAGCCATTCAAAAGTCGAAAAATCGACTATATTTAAGGAGCTCAATTTCGGTAGTAAAAACTCTCAAAATGATACCTTCGCACCATAAATGATAAAATCGCTTCATCAAGGTTTTTGTAATTATTTTCTTGGTAATATCACGAAAGGTCAAAGTACAGAAATGAAAATTATGTTTTCAAATTTCGAAAATTTCACTTAATTTTCTATGATACGAAATCTAACCTGCAACTTAAAAAAACAAATAATTTTTTGCAAATTCATTAGGAATGCATATTTTCATGTACGAGTTGTATTGAATGATTGAGGCGTGGATAATTATTAATATATTTATTCAATAACACCAACAAACTGCACAACTCATATTACATGTCACGTTCATCGAGATTTTTCCCTTGTAGGAAAAACATCTCACTGTCAATATTATAAGACCAAAGAACAATTTTTTACTACTAACTCACAAAATGAATACTCAACTAATGACACTTGAATAACAAACATAAAATATAAATGTACTCGTTCTCAACAAGTTGCACTATAGTTGAATCTATCTTTGGTTAGGTTATAGGTTAGGTTTTGTTTCATTATCAATTATATTTCTAATATATTTGACGTCACATTAATTTTTAGTTTATTGCCAGTAGACAACAAAAAGTCTCTTGTATTAGTGTTATTTATTTTCATAAACAGTTATGCCTATGGCAGTATGTAGTTTGCTGTAAGATATACTATTTTGATAAATTGAATGTAATGTATGGAATGGAACCTTCAAGTTTCCACTGGTGAAGCTACACGGTAGCTTTACCAGTGAAAATTCCATAATTTTCATCATGGAAATGGCAAGTGCATAAAGATTCGCAGCATGCGATCATGAAAAAAGCATCAACTTATTCACCGGAAGTGAGTTCCAGAATAAGATGATTTTTGTCTTTTTGACAGTGGCCATATCTTTGAAAGTAGAGACCAGAGCGCCAAGTTTTGAATTATGTTTAGTGATCGATTTGTTTTTAAACTAGCAAGAGCCCAAAAAAACTGAATTTTACTGAAATTGGTTCTGGATATAGAATAACGTTTCTTTTTCAAATGACTAGTTGGTCCTTAAGTATAGAGTTATACTTTGCAATTATGATTCTTGCAGTGACACGTTCTTCCTGATCCTTATTTTTTTTACTGCCGTTATTCAAATTACAGTCAATGATTAGTTTCTATTGATGATTTGTTGATTTTAAAAATTCACTGTAGGCATACCATGTAATGATATCAGGACCTCCATTGTTCTATTTCTGTATCATAGTATTTAAGATATGTTGGCAATATAAATATTTAAAAATATATTCCATCGTTATACTGTATATATTATAATTTTATTTATTCTTTGATTCTATCCAGAAATTTTTTGAGTAGTGCCAAACTCTCGGGTATTGCAAATTTCAACCTATTCACCTTTCTACTTGGCACTGATTCTGCATTTGCCTTATACAAATATGTAACTATAAGTATTGATATATTTAATTATTGAATTGATTTGTGGTGATATTTGTTTTTTAGTTTTAGGTTTCTGTCCAATGAATAGATTTTATTGTACTCATTTATTCATATTTTAACTGTATATAAAGAAATGTATGAACTATCACAAATAAAATCTGCTAAAAAACTGTTTTCAGATTCTGTTTGAAGATTAAGCAAAGAGGATACTTAGCCCCAATACATGTTTAGAGAGGTTCTAAAAGAGGATAACAAATTATATCAAACAATAAAACAATCATACTCAATAAAACCAGGTGAAATCCAGAAGTATTCCATTTTCATTGAATTGATAATTTTCTATGAAAATAAAAGACAAACAATTGTCCAAACGTCGGTTCAGTGCAAAGCCATTCTAGGACATCGACTGCCGAATTAGACATCAATTTATGTTTTTCTCTGTAGCTTTCACCACAAACGCACAATTAGACATCAGAGCCTAATCGATTATCTTGATCAGACGGTTGTTTTGACCTGCAATGGCTCCCATCATAGGCCACTACTGATTACACCTCTGGCAGCGTGTTTGATATTGAATTATAGATGCAATGTGTATGAGCTTTCAATTCATGTAGTTACCTGCTTACAGTAAAAACTGAACATTCATGAGCCTGACTAGTATCACTGATGAGATCGTAACAGTGCTGATATTGGATCGTAGACAACACGTTAAGGCTCCGATATCTAGTAAAAATATATTGAGTGACAACGATTCCAACATTTTTGTTTACGGTTACTATGAAAGTTCTGAAATCTAACAGTTATTTTTAAGAACAAATGAACTGAAATGGAATAGAATGAAAATAAAAGCAATGGTTTTAGAAATGAAATAAAAATTGAATAATACTCAATATGAGCAAGTGAAGTGATAGGGTGTCAAATAACCTCAAAAAACGTAACTAATGTAATTTAATTATGATTCAAGAATAATCTCAAATCTAGTTCAAAAGTATGATGATAGAGGAAGTCATTTTCTTGCTACAAATGTTTTATACATATACGTGGTCAAATATATTTATCAATCAAAAAAGTTCTTACCACGTAGGTTCCGATTCCTCGCAGATTTCTATTATTTTGTTTTTTTAATAAGAAAATCTGTTTTTAGAAAGAACAAAAATTATTGTGAAAAGTCAAGGACATTTTGACACACTTTCATTCGAAAGTAAGTAGTAGAGTTGTTGATCTACCATTTTGACCACGTACAAAAAAACTGCAGTACTTCAATTTTTATTTATTGGAATGTGTTCTCATATCAAATGATAATAAAAAAAATTGCCAATATTTTTATGTGGCAGTTTTGTTAATAGATGGTATAATTCTGTCCGATTTAGAATTACAAACAGCAAAAAACAAAAAAATGACCCACCAGTTCGAAATTTTTTATGCAATCCTCAGCTCACATTCCACAATCACTAAAATGCCATACGCAACACGCGCAAATTTAGGAGTAAAATGTGTGTAGAAACTGAATAATGTAATTTTTTAGTTATGATCATTTTTAAATTCAGTCCTTCAGATTCAATACACTGCCCGCAACGCTTGATGAAATTTCTTCCAAGATTTCTTAAAGATCGTGAATTATTTCATAATGCTTCAATCAGATTTTCAATTCTTGGTAGACTCTTTAATGTAGCTCACAAAAAGTCCAATGGATCCGATAAGCACTGTTACCATGGAATTCCTCCTCTTTTTATCCACCTCTTTCGAAGATAAATAGTTAAGAAGATACCTTACTTAGAGAGAGTGAGGTAGCCATCTAACTAAAAACACATATGCCTTCGAAAATAGTCAGATTTCTAGTAAAAGACTGCATACATTTTTGCAAAGCCACTTCAATCAATTTTTAACTTGGCCTTAAAGACTGCGTGTTTTCCCAATAGATGGAAAGTATCTAATACTGAAATCAGGGGCTCCAAATAATCTGAACTATCCACCCATAACAATTCTGTCCAACTTTGCAAAGGTCTTTTGAGATGTCTGTATAACAACATTTTTCCTAAAGTGAGAAATAGTATAACTTTATATCAGCACGGTTTCATCAATAAACGTTCAACAATAACTAATCTCATGTGTTTTACACAAATGGTCAGCACTGCGCTATATAAACTGCTACAGGTGGATACAATCTATACAGACTTCTCAAAGGCCTTTGATAAATTGAACCATCAAATTCTACTTAATAAACTTTTTTCTGTTGGGTTCGATAGTCAACTGTTGAATTTACTACAGTCTTATCTTCAGAATCGTATGCTATAGAATACAAAGGATACAAATCAACAGAATTCTCTTCAACCAGTGGTGCTCCTCAAGGAAGTAATCTAGCTCCTATTCTACTTTCTTTGTTTATAAATGATATTGTTTCAAATATCTCTAGTAACATATTACTCTTTGCTGATGACTTGAAGATTTTCAGATCCATTGAATCAACCGAGGACTGACTGTCTTATTCTGCAGAAGGAAGTTAATTCGATACATGAAAAAAGCTTCTACTGAATATTCAAAAATGTAAATTTATGAAATACACCCTCAAGCACAACAATATACAGTTTGACTATGCAATAAATGACGTCATATTAGAACAAAGCACAGAAACTAAAGATTTGTGATCTGAAACTTAGTTTCACATCACAAATTAATCAAATCACATCTTCTGCAAAAAAAATGCTGGAACGTGTAGACTTTCAAAACCAAGAATGTTTTCTAACACTTTTTAATGCATATGTCCGATCTCGTCTGGAATATGGCTCGCTAATCTGGTCGCCTATATACAAGGTGCATATACAGCAACTCTAATCTTGTCAAAGAATCTTTATGAAATACATGGCTTACAAACTGGATGGAGCTTGCCCATCCCAAGGAATTGATAATAGAGTGTTGCTAAATAGATTTGCCCTCTTATCCTTAGAAAACAGAACATATTATGCCTGTATCTTCATATATAAATTGATTCATAATCTGGTTGACTCCCCAGATTTGTTATTTCAACTAGATTCTCACGTACCGAGACGAAGTAGTAGAAACGAAATATTTTTCTATTTGCCTTTGCCTAGGATCAACGTGTTGATAAAATCCCCAGTTTATAACATCTGTAAAATTTATAATAGTTTCTATTCAGAATGTGATAATTTTGTTGTTCCATTTGGACGCTTCAAGTATATAATTCGTAACAAACTATTTTTTTATGCAAGTCGAACTGCAATCTAATTACAACCCATAAGTGAAATACTGTGTTTCAACTCTCTGCACACTGTCAATTCTATTAAAATTTTACAGTATATGTCTATTTTTTTTTCAACTGAGAATCATTTAGTGTAGCTGGAAACTGAAATAGCCCAATTAATAAGCCATTTACCATCCCAGCCTATAAATTTATGCCAAATTAAAGTTGGAATCTACCTTCTTATACTTGGGTTTTCTACTGTCCAATAATGCCAGTTATGAGCTTTTAATATTCCAATGCATCTAAAATTCGGCTCGTCAGTCCACAATATATATTTGAAAAAAAATGGATCTGCTCTAATTCTTTGAAACATTTCTCTACAAAATCGATTTTGTTGGGGGTAGTTTGCCGACAACAGTGCTAGCACAAATACTGGATGTGGTAAGGATAAAATAATTGCCTTCATAAAATGTGTGCAACTGTTATTCTGGATATACCAGTATTGTATGTTACATGTCATATACTGTGTGTAGGGTCCTCTCAATTTGAATAAATACCTGGTCATCATCATGAAGTTCAGGTCTTCCCTTTCGGTTCAGAGATCCAGGGATGGAGCATAAATAGAATTTCATTAGAAAACAAGGTATCAATGCACTGCTGATGACAATGTAAAAGTTTAAACAGACTTTTTACTATAAATAGCATTTTATAAATAATAATTTGCTTGCCAACTTCAAACAAACTGGCGAATACTGTCCATACTATTCTGTAACTTTTCATAGTTTCGAACGTAAACATACGAATATTTTATCAACTTACATTAGAAATGTCACACCGAAAAAAAACTTTATTTGCACTAATACTGAAACACACCAAAACAGAACACAACCAATTTGATTTAGAAAACTGAACATTGAATGCCTTTTTAAAAGAAGCGAACCCTACGAATACTGAATCACGACTAATACGCTTCGATTTATCTTTCCATAAGTTTACCATACTTCAGTCGTCACTCGGCGATTTGAGTGCTCATTCCCTTGTTTTCTATTTCTATACCTTAAATTTATTTTTTCTTCTAAATCACATTTCTCTTCTATGAAGTTTTCCACAACCCACTATTTAATGAGAATATTTTCTCTCATTTACATGTATGATGATAAATGAATGCAATTCCTTTCATTACTCATTTATTTCAAAAACAAAACATACAGATAACAAAATATAAACAATGTATATGAAAACAAAAAATATAGCTGTTTTTCCTAAAATGATAATGAAATAAAACTGATGGCAATGTGTATCCCACTTTATGAATACAATGTTTATACCATATGAAGTTTCATGCTCTCGAAGAAATTTGTTATTGTAAAATCAGAAAAGTACTATTTTAGAGATTTGTGCTGATTTCAAATAACAAGATTAGTGAGTTCACCCGACCTTTATAATCGAATGTTGAAAAAATATTTCAATAACATCCTGAATTGCTTGGAAATCATTTTCTCAAAAAAAAGCAGCATTGAAAAATCAAATGTCTTCATCTTTCAACAGGATTTTGAAATATCACGAAAACACTCTGAGGTGCTTGGACTTCAAATTAGACAATTCTTTTTAAGTGGGATGCATTAATTGTATTTAACAATTTCGTATATTTATTAATTCATAATAACATACTTAGTTTAAATCATTAACCACATATAAAAACGTATAGGTACATTTTCCTTATCTAATATGGCAACATTAAAGTTATATGGCAAATAAACAAAATTGAGTTTACTGGTTCGAAAAACAGACCAAAAACCGATAATATATCACAAACAAAGATAAATTGCACTACATAGAGATTTTTTTAGCTACCTCCTATATTAATATATATCTACAGCATAAATAATTATGCATATACAAAGTGTCTATATTACATTTTATAGTTACCATCCAAACATTAACCATTAGGTACGTATTTTACAAATAAACACACCTTTTTTGAGTCCAATTATTCATCTCATTGCACGTTTCCACTTTTTATTATTATTTCAAAGTATACTAGTGATTGAATCTACCAGAAAATATGTTTGTTTCGCAAAAAATAGTTATAAAAAAAATTGTCGTTATGAAGATGTATATTGAAGCGTTACATGTAAACTCTGAAACCTAATGATTTTTTATTGTGTCAACGGCATCGACTACTTTGGTCATTAGCTTTGTGTTCTGGGTTGGCAATGTTAATAACTCCCTGAGCCACCTAGGGAGCATCATGGTAATTCGCAGTCTGTCAGTCATGTAACTTTGCAGAATTATCCCAACTTCAATTAGATAAAATCTCTAGAGGAAAATGTCTAGTCCAGGTGGGAATTGAACTCACAACTTTTGATCGACATTTCTTCGAATGTCAAAGATAACGTTTTGGAAATACGCACATACATAGTAAATCTAAGATGTGTATCTACTAAAAGAGTTGGTTTCATTTCGTTTCATAATAGGCCTTTTCACCATAAGACGAGCGCAAGCGTAGCTGTCATATTGAAATGGCGGTAGTTCAAAACATTCCTACTGTTTTAATCGACAATGGCTGGGCAAGGAATATTATCTCTACAAACAAATAAATTATTGGAAAAAACCATTGATGGTGCTTCACTTGTTTATAATTCAGTTGAGGCTCATAATTGTGAACAATTAAAAAGGTGGTTAAAACGTCATGGGCGTCCGCAAAAAGGAAAAAAGTGAGCTGATTTAGAGGTTAGGTATCAGCATTTGTTTACTATCTATAAACATATATAAAAAAAATAGTATCTACAGTTTTATTCTTATTAATAATGTCAATTTATTTGATGTAATTGAAAATATATTTCAGTTGACAAGAGTATTACTTATGGAACTAATAAATAAATCAAGCTATTAATATTTTGAGGCTGTAGGTACATATGACATTATTAATCAGACAAATATGTAAATACTGAATTGAATATGTTTAGTAATTTTTATTAGAGGGAATAATTTAATACAACAAAATATATATGAAATTTACAGTCAAAAACGCAATAAGGACTAAGGTACGTATGTTGAAATTCCTGATAGCTTAAAGGATCAGGGTTTTGTTCAGTTGGACCACTTTCTCCAATGAAATGTAGTGAGCAAATAAAAGTATCCTTGGTAACATCATCAATAAATTTAAAGCCTTGGTCACTCCTGCCACATTTTTTTCACCCATAAATCACATTTCGCACATGCTTTAATATGTAATTTGCTTGGTGATTTGATTATTTTTTTGTGATATTCAAGACAAGGCTTTGGAAAATTTATAAAATAGTATGTGTTGGTTTTGAATGATTCGTATCATGTATCACTTTTACATACTGCATAACAACACCGTTTTGTTGTTCCTTTTCGTACAGATAACATAATTATAATGGAGTATAAAATTTTTCTTCCGATTATATTGACTTACTACTTTTTTTTCACTTTTTTTACCCATTTATATTTTAATTTTTAAAACATGAGTTGCGGGCTCTTCAACATGGTTGTTTACAAAAAACAGTACGAAAAAGATGGCTGATTCTGACGCATGCACACAAAAAAATTGTGATGAAAAGGCCTATTCAATTCCAGTACATCTCTCCTTACGAAGACGCCATCTATGGGATCGACAGAGAACTCAATCTTCGAATATAAAATTCAAATAATAGCCAATTCGGACAGTTTATAGGTTGAAATTAAATGAATAGAGTTTCGATCTTAGATGTTGCAGTAGCCCTTTCACTGTTAAACTTTAAAATTAATTTAAAATATAATAAATATTAAAAGGTTTCACATAATCCTTTCGCTTCCTAGCACCTTGGAACAGCATTTCAAACTAGAAAGTTCTAATCAGTTGAGGTTTACATACCTACTGACAGTAGAATATATCAGAAGTACCTGACAAACTATAGGTGCCTTTTGTTATGAGGTTCAGTAGAATAAACTTCGAACTCACTTTTTTAGAACCTTTTCATAAGGAAACCCTCGTCCTTGTGGAATTTCGTAGACCGTTTTTACAGCTTGATATAACAAAATAACGCCAATATCTCACTCTTCCTCATAAACAGAGTAAAATAAAAAAAAAACGAATATTACACAAACTGATTCAGAAATGGAAAAGCCATATATGTTCAAAGAAGTAATGTACAAAATACAATATATAAAAACATATAGTAAATATAACTTAAGAATCAGTAAAAAGATTCACTCAAGTAAAAATATAAAATAGACAATCAGTGTCGCTATTTTTATTCGGGTTTGAAGGCCGTCGAAGGCTAGCTTCCTCAGAGGTTCATACATATTGAGTTTTATCTCCAATAAAATCAAGATGTATGAACCTCTGAAGAAGCTAGCCAGTGAAACGTCTCGAAGAAATTTCAAAAATCGACGGCTTTCAAACCCGAATAAAAATAATGACACTGAAAACCTAGGCTGCGAAAGCCTGAACCATTTTGTCTACACAATTTTTTCAAAACTGAAAATTAGTTTTGTTAATAAAATATTTAGAAGATTTTTTTATATACAGATTGTTTACCAGAAATAGATTTTACTTTATTCATTTATCTGAAAATTAACGGCATGCCGATTTTATTTTGATAAGTTTATTGGCACATATCAAAAAAAAATTGTTTTCTGGTGGACATAAGAAAGACAATAGAACACTCTCTCTTGTTCAATTTATATAGTTCAATGCAAATGAGTGAATTGCTTGTCATCAGATTGGATCAATCTGTCTAATAAAAACCAAGGTGTGATGCTTTGGTATATCAAGTTTGATTTGACAACTTAAAGTTACTGTGAAAACAAAGTAGTCATAGCTTTGGCATAACACTGGTGTCAAACATTTCGACACTTTTCTAAACTCATTTCAAGTTTTATAAACTTGCAGCATTTTGAATATCACTCTTCCTTGTTGGAATGAATAGCCCTACATCCATTTGGTATTGTGCATGTGGATCATATGAGTTTTGAGATAACTTTTATGCCTAGTTTTAAACCTACACTTTTTACACTTATACATTGTTACCTCATTCGGATTCCTATGCAGCATCATGTGCGTCTTCAGATACCCTTTGGATTTTGTCTGGAATTCGCACTGTGAACAAGAATACATTTGAACTTCATCTTTGCTTTTATGCACATACAATATATGGGTGTCCAAATAGTTTTTATGTTTAGTCTCGAAGTTACACTCCCAGCACTTGTACATGACGCAGTCTTCAGGAGCCATATGAACCAACATATGACGCTTCAGGTAGTGTTTAAATTTTGTTTGGAAATCGCATTCCGTACACCTGTGCATTGTTACCTCGTCTGGACTCTTGTGTGTGAGCATATGAGTTTCCAAGTAACTTTTGTGTCTGGTTTTGAAGGGACACAAGTCGCATTTGTGCAAAACCAACTCGTCCGGGTTTTTGTGTATTTGCATGTGAGTCTTGAAGAGGTAAGCCTTTGACTTGGTTTGGAACTCGCACTGATTACAAGAGTACATTACCAGTTCATCAGGGTTTTTGTGGACCATGCTATGAGTTTCCAAGTATTTCTTATGTCTGGTACGAAAGGAGCACTGCTCACACTGGTACATGGGTATCTCATCAGGATTCTTGTGGATTATCATGTGCTTGGTGAGATAATACTTGAATTTGGTTTTGAAACTGCATTCGTTGCATTTATGCATTGGTATTTCACCTGGATTCTTATGGGTTAACATATGGGTTTTCAAATAGGACTTAGATTTTGTTTGAAAATCACAAATGGCGCAACGGTGCATTGGAATATCACCAGGATTCATATGAATCTTCACGTGGGTTTCTAAGTACTTTTTATGCTTTGTTTGGAAAATACAGAACTCGCATTTGTGCATTTTAATCTCATCTGGGCTTTTGTGTATCAACATGTGAGTCTTCATGTAGCTCTTGAATTTGGTTTTGAAATCACAAACTTTGCATTGGTGCATCTCACAATCATCTGGATCTTTGTGAACCAGCATGTGGGTTTCAAGATATCGTTTGTGTTTTGTCTTGAACATACACATGGCACAAGAATACATCATTATCTCATTTGGATCCGTGTGCATCATGTTTTTGTGAATTTTTATGCTGTATTTGTACTTAGTCGTGAAGGTGCACAGTGGACAGTGGTAATATGTTACACCGTCAGCATCAGCACGAACCTGCAGTTTTCTGCAAAATACAAAGAGTGAATAAAGATTTTCGTTAATTCGAACTTTGGATAAGTATTCTAGATTGCTACAATCAAACATGACATAAAATTTAATAAACATATTAATAGCTCTACTGAAGATTAAACATATATAGCAGTACAGTCTGGCGCTCACAGATTGCAGGGTTTTAAAAGGGGTACAACTAATTTTTTCTTTCAAGTTAGTTCAATTTTAAAATATTCCTGTTATTAGTCATAGGAAAACGTATAAGTATTTTATTTTTTCTGTCACTGCTTATAATTGTAATGTCAAACATATTACAGAGTTGGAGCCAAAGATAAATTGGATAAGTTGGAGAAATCTGGAATTTATAAGTTTAAGTGTCTGGTGTTTTAGTGTTTATGTGGGACAATGTGGTCGAAATTTCTCAAAACGGTATGTCGAACATGAAAGGTCCTTCTGACTAGGTAAAAATGATTCGACGTTTTCAAACCATTTCTTGGAATGCAACTACAAGTTCCCGAATCTAAACGATACGGAAATTCTACGCAAGGAAGGGTTGCAATTCCAAATATTTGAAATCCTTGTAAATTCATAAGCATAAACATTGCGGGTGCAACCTGTTGAATGATCAAATCAATCTAGTTTATTCACTGGGTTTCAAATTAGTGTATCCACATTGTCGCAGGTAAACGAAATTCAGTTACTCAAAGTTATGTACCTCTGTTATTACCTACAGTGGGGTTATGTAAGTGCTAACGTTTTCAATTATTTTTTGTTTAATGTATAAGTTTGAAAATGTCCTTACAGGACGAAACTGCGGTAACGTTAGTTACAAATAAAAGCGTTATAAAACAAAGAAAGTTTCAATTCTCATTTTTCAATCCAAAATTGCCTTTGCAAAATATTACTTACGTTAAAGGTTTCTTCTGTTCCACAACTTCTTTGGGCTGATTCAATTCAAGTAAATCAGTAGGTACAAAATCGGAATTACCCATATCTTCATTATGGTCTCCATTGACTTCACCATCCATTTCTATTTTTGGAAAAGCAAATTCCAAAACGTTGAACAGATCAATTTGATCTTCTGATTTTGTTTCCTCATAGTAATTTTTAATTTTCTGTTCGACATTCAAACTGTTCACCATGAAGGTGGAGGCTTTTTCTAGAAAGTTGAAGCACATTTGACACACAACTGGTTCTTTGGTAATTTTCGGATCCTAGAAACAAAATTAAAAATATATTTGTTTCGACATGACTTTCCTCAATTGCAGAATCTGAAACTTAAACTCAAGTATGTAATGATGAAAACAAATTTTGTGGTACTCGTTAATGCCATAATCAAGAATGTTGACCAAAAAAGGTTTGCCTTATATGTTTTCAAAAACGACTACGAAGGTTTTCATTTTAGGGAGATTTATCCCCATATCCAAGGCTCACAAATAAGGCTGCAACAATGGACCTGAAAATTAACTCTTGCAGAAATGACCAAATCAGCTGTATTATGCGGATACTTGTTATTTATTTCATAATCAAACCATTACTTTACTCATCAATAAATATTTTCAAAGATATTTGAAACAGGTGAAGTTTTACCACTTTAGAAAAAAAGGTGACCCTAGTATTATAAATATATATAAATCCATTTCCATGTTATCTTCTCTCTGTAAACTCTTAGAAAACACTTTTTATGAAAGAGTGATTGAATTTTAACTCAAGCACAATATATTTAGTGATGATGATGAAAATGAATGTAATCAGTTGAATAGTTTGGGGATTTTTAGGTTGAACCGATATCCACAAGTTTTTTTCATGAAGTACTTCTAATGAAAAGATCATGGCTTTTTTTTGACTCCATTGGAAATGTCACCAACAATCCTTTGGAGAATCAAAAAACAGGTAATGTTGAAAGGTATAAACCAATTTGTTTGCCAACTGGATTCAAAAAAATTTGAGAATACAACTCAAAATGTCATGAATTTCACTAGTTCGGACTTCCATTGTCTACTATATATTGTTTCAGGGATTTCAAATCATTTTATATAGTAGACAATGGAAGTCCGAACTAGTGAAATTCATCACGAAACATTGTCAATCACCTTCAATCAAAATGTCATATTACCCTTCATCATGATAAAAGCTTTCATAACGCCTAATGACCTTTTTCCTACGTCAAACAAAGAGGGATTTTCATCTCAAGAAGCTATGGATACCGTTCAAAACCATGTTATCAAGATAATCAACTTCAAAGGTCGGTCGGTGGCCAGGCGGTTCGACGCGGGTGCTTTGTTCACTCACTCGAATTGACTGCCGTGTTGGTCGGTGGTTCAAGCTCTAGTCTGAACCATCGATTTTAACTTGCTATCGTCCAACCCGTGTTAGGAATCACACGTCAAAAGGTAAGAGCTCGTTAATCCTTAACTCGAACAAGTTTCGACCTTTGAGGGTTGTCGTTCGTAGGGGTGCGACAGCTGGTTAATGGAAAACAGATTCTAAAGTAGAAAAACTGATGAAAATTGGTTGGAAGACACAACCATATGACTACAGTCACCATCTACAAAAAAAATACAACAAATTTGAAACAGGAATTGTTGTATCAGGAGAACGAAATAATTATTTTATATAATTTAATTTCCTACCTATTTTATATCTCTCGATCAGACTTCAGAATCAATAAGTTATTTTTGTTGCCAAACAAAATGGATAATTGAAAGTTACGAAAGCAATATAATCTTAAAAAATTATTGGAAAAATACAGAATTAGTTATTACATAATTCATTTAAAAATCCAAAAAATCGTTTTTCTTTATTCAGATCATAGAATCAATTTTTGATTTTGAAAAAATTATTTTCACCAACCACGCTTACAATACAATAATAATACAAAAGTTCCTCAGGGCTTGATCCTTGGTCTTCCCATATTTTTATTATTCATTAATGAACTACCACTACATCTGATTAAATTAAATATTACACTTTACGTGGATTATACAACAAGCTAGCGATGGAAATTCAACTAAAATTACTCAAGTATATCATCTGAAGAATTTAGCGGATGGTATGCTAAAAACTCTTTGATCTAAATAACGCTAAATCAGTATGTATGCAATTTTCTACATGACCTATAAATGTAATAAATGCTTTATTTCATATAAGAATTTATAAGGATGTGATCAGTTTGTCTGAAACGACCAAATTTTTATTGGAATCATATTTGGTTTCAAATGTGAGCTGAAAAACCAATATTGATTTTATCTCAAAAATGTGAACAAGAAGTACCATCTATATCTCATAATTGCTTAGCGTTTAATATGTCCTTATTTATTCTCAATTATTACAGTCGGCAATACTCATCAAGCCCAGAGTTTCATGTAGAAAATATTTTCAAAATAATGATCTCATTATATTACCAAGTATTTATATTGGGGACAACAAAAATTCATTGTATGCCGCGTCATTCAGTTTTTTCTGGGGTAAGAAATTTGAAATTCGGTACGAATATATAGTTCCTTCTAACTGATATTTCTAATGAATACCTTTTCCTCTTAACCAAAAATAAACTCAAGTATTTGAAAGAAACCTGCATATTTTTAGACCATTTAACAGGATATGAAATTATCTTTTCAAACTATATAATACAAATGATCATTTCCTTTCAAAATGCGGCGCTATGATGTTATCTATTGAAATATTCTCAAATAACTTGAAGTGAGAAACAAAATACTGTATAATATAATAATTGTTGTGAAAGATCGCCAGAAACCTCAGAGAAAACTAGTATCCCAAATTATGTTTTGCAAATAAAAGATTAAAATAGAGTGACAAACAATAACTTGGTCTTATGTAAACCTTTTGAAAAATTTGAGATCAGTAAAACATCTTGTTTAATGTACTAGAAGCTTTCTCCAATGACGAGCCCAAATTATCCTTCATGAAAGTTTGATAACTCCCAGGTGTCTTATGTAATCATTGGATGAAAAGGAATTCTGAAAGCATCTCAGTTCAAGCTGAAACATCTACAAAAACTATTCCTTGTAATCCAGATATATTTTTATAATTTTACAAATTATATTCCGTGTTGGGAATCACACGTTAAAAGATAAGACTTAGTTAGTCCTTAGCTCGCACAAGTTTTGACTTTTGAGAGTTGTTGTTCAGCTGCTTAACGGAAAGGTATTTTAAATAGATTAAGATATCCTCAACATAGTTCAGGAAACAGAACATTATACCAGAAGTATAAACTACTTCACTGTTCTTCGCAAAAATACTTCAGGAAAAATTTAAAAACTAGAAAACAGACCAACTATTGAAAAAAATAAAACTATTTGTTAAAAAAAATCTGTTTTACCATTAACCAGCTGTCTCCCCCTACGAATAACAACCTTCAAAAGTCGAAAATTGTGCAAGAAGAGGATTAACGAAGTCTCACCTCTCACGTGCATTTCCTGGCACGTCCTATCGACACAAGAACTCTTTAAAACCTTCAACTGAATGAAATTCAGAGTTAAAATTTAGTAGGTAAGTTATTTATCAAATGTTATCCACCCTGGATATATTCATAGATATCGAGGGAGCGTTTGATAAAACAACCTTTCCAACAATTACCCAGCAACTACACTCCAGGAATGTATCTCTGGTAGTAGGAGAATGGATACTCAAGATACTCTCTAGTAGAGCAATAAGTATCAATGTAGAAAACATCACAGTGAGAGGACTGGTCATGAGGGGATGTCCACAGGGAGGGGTCTTATAACCCCTTCTTTGGAATATAGTTCTGGATACCCTGATTAATCACTTTAACAATAATGGATACTACACAATGGGCTCATTCAGGCTAATTTAGTTATTTATTGAAAATTATATATTATAAAAGTAAATCATCTCCCAAATATCCCACAAAATTTTCCGGTTTTTATGTCAATTAACAACTGAGCAAGAGCAATTGAAAATGTGATATCGCCCGCGGTACATCCTGACGTCACAACAAGCAATGAGCTTCGAGCGGTGGCAATCGGGCCTTTAGTAGGAGATTATGAATCGCTGCCATCGTCGGATTTTGTTTCATTTGCTGACTGGTTTGAAAACACCACTGTTACATATTCACGCAGCTGATACACTGCAGTAAACAACACACAACTTGCTCTCTACGGCTTCAGTATACGTATGTATTTCGCTTATCCGCCAGCACTGGCGGCTGATGTGACGTCAAGTTTGACCACGCACCGCTTCGGTGAACGCCACATTCAACTATTAATTTGAAGGGGAAGATATAGAGTGAAAATTCGGATTTTTTGCAGATGTATTATTTGAAGTATAAACTTTCAAATAATGAAATGAAAAAATTTGGTAAATGAGCCCATTGCATATGTAGATGACATAGTTATCATGCATACCAGCAAATTTGTGAACACACTGTGCGATAGAGCGCAGGATTGGCTCAAATTTATAGAAACATGGTGTAAGGAACACTCATTGTTGATCAATCCCAAGAAGACTGAGATGGTCCTTTTCACCAGGAAAAGAAGTTCATCAGGCTTAAATCCTTCCGAAATCTTCAAAAGCAAACTAAACTTCTCTGAAGAGGTGAAATACCTTGGTACTATCCTCGACAGGAAGCTAACATGGAACTCTCACCCACAGAGTGGAGCAAAAAGAGCATATGTGGCTTATGAGCAATGTCGAAGGACAATGGGACGCCCATGGGGTATTTCACCCCGTCTGTTAACGTACGGAGCCATTGCATGGGGACCGAAAGTTCTACAAGCAAGGGCTATCTAAAAATTATATCAAATACAGTGATTGATTCGTTTAAACATCACATGAGCCATGAGAACAACACCAACCGCGCAATGGAATTAATTACTGGTCTGACCCCTCTGGGTCAGAATTGGGATTGTAATGAATTGAGTATAAACAAAAAAAAAAGAAATTTATTGACATACTCAAGTCATGTATGGAAAATTGTTTTCCTCTCAAACAAAAAAATTATAACAACAAACAAAGCAGTAAAAAAACCTGGTACACAAATGAGCTCCAAAGCATGAAAAATCAATTACAGCTCGTATCAGAACTATGCCAAATTTCTAATGATATGCATATAAAAAATCTAAAAAAAGAATATCAAAAAGTATACAAACAAAAACTGAAAATTACAAAAAGAGAGTTTAATAACAGGAAAATAAAGGATTCGAAAAATATTAACAAAACGTGTTGGGATATA